TAGAGAAGGGCTCTGTGGAGAAGCAGTGGCCTCTCATGCACCAGCATGCACCCCTGCTAAGTCAGAGCAAGAGTCCTCCTATGAGCAGGCAAATTTTCTAAATTGCAGTGCTCTAGGTCTGATGCTGCAAGGGGATTTGTCTGACCACTGCAGAGAGACCACTGCTTCTCAACAGAGAGCAAAGATCCCCCTCTACAGAATACTGGCCAGGGACAGGCTTTTCTACTCTGGCTGTGTCTGCTTTATAAAGAAAACAAACGGTAGGGTCCTATTCAAACTATTGCGTTGCCGTATTGCATGCATTTCTGGAAAGCACGTTACATACGATGGTGCAATGTGGCACCATTCATTCTGAATGGCACTCCAAAGCACCTTGCCGGCAGACATGCAATGCAGCACAGTGCAACTTGGGGCAGCACACTAATGGAGTTAGAGGTGGAACCTGGGGGCATAAGTCACCCCCAGACTTTTTATATTGATTGCTGGTTTTGTTCCACCTCTGAATGCTGGGTACCCCCCGCCCACGTTTGCTATGTTTCTAGTGCTGGTGAATTTTCGGCAACATTATATGGAATATAAACCAGCGGGGAAGTAAGGACCCCCTTAATGGCAGTAGCAGGTGTATACAGCATGGAGCCTGGGACCCCCCCACACTTTAATTATTATTATAATACAGAATTTATATAGCGCCAACAGTTTGCGCAGCGATTTACAATATAAGGAAGACATTACAATCACAATACAATTCAAGACAAGATGGTAAGGAGGGCCCTGCCCCTGAGAGCTTACAATCTAAATGCCTATGAGAGGTGTATAAACCTGGGAACTCAGGTGCAGAGGTCTTGCACTGAAGTCCCCTAAAGATATGAACCTGTTAGGGGATAAAACCTTCCAGGCATCATTCACCACAAACTGAGATGTTGGTTTTCAGTCTACTGACTAAGTCTAAGTTTATTATAAGCAATTAAAGTGCTTTTTGTGCTGGTTGGAGCCATGTCTGTTAAAAAATGCTTTCTTATAAATGTTGGTTCCTTGGTCCTGCGACACGCAATAGACACTTTTCTTGCTGCAGTGATGGAACCAACGGTCCCTGGTTCGAATCCTAGTTCTGCCAGGACACCATCTGCATGGAGTGTGCATGTTCTCCCTGTGCTAGTATGAGTTTTCTCCCAGACTCCAAAGACATGCTGGAAAGTTAATTGGCTCCTTCTAAATTTGGCCCTAGTATGTGAATGTTTGTGCGATAGGGACCTTAAACTTTAAGCTCCTTGGGGGCAGGGACTGATGTAAATGAATAGTATGTAAATCTGTAAAGAATAAATCAAGGCAACTGGACTTGCTGTATTTTTCTTGAAGACCTTTCACTGGCCATCCAACCAGCTCTCTCAATTCAGAATGACTTGTACAAAATATTCTCTGGGAATAAATATGGTGACTGTCGCTCCAATCCGCATAATCTGTTAGTCACAATCAGGTGTAGATGGCATTTGCATAATTGGAGCTAGGAGGTGTTAGTAACCTGCCCAGAGAGGTGTTAAAACAGCATTGTATGTGGCAGATAATAGATGTCCCCCCACTCCCCCCTACCACCTCTATTCAAGCTTGGCTTCTCCATCTCTACATAAATGGCCTCTTTCACACCTCTTTTACACCAGTCCTCCTCCCGGTCCAGGATGCGTACAATGCTGTTTGAACATCTCTCTCTGGGCAGGTTACTAACAGCTCCTAGCTCCAATTATGCAAATGAAATCTACACCTGGTTGTGACTAACAGATTATGCGGATTGGAGCGACATTCACCATATTTATTCCCAGGGAATATTTTGTACAAGTCATTCTGCATTGAGAAAGCTGGTCGGATGACCAGTGTAACGTCTTCAAGAAAAATACAGCAAGTCCAGTTGCCTTGACTTATTTTTTTACAGATATCCCATGACCTGGATGAATGAACCTTCACAGACAATAGTATGTAAAGCACTGCAAAAACTGTCGCCGGTATACAAATCCCTATTATAGAAATAAATAAACCTGCTTTGCTAAAACAGACATGTCTCTTTTTTTGGGAAGGTGATCAGGTATTGATGAGTATTAACAGGCTTTTTTTTTCTTCAATTCATGATAGTGTGACCTCTGACTGATATAGAGAAATAACTAGGTGGGAATACATTGCTGTATCTGTGTAACATTTGGCGACCATTTAACCAAATGTTGAGTTATTTAGGGATAGCTGCGTGAACTGTAATACTTATAACTACGAATCACATTTCAGTATTGGTAACAGAATATTAAAGATGATTATTGGTTGCTTCGGGTAACCGCACATTGTGCTCCTTCTCATATACCTGGATAGTACAGGGTGCAGCCAGTGGCGGGGAGTTCTAAGTGAGGAATCTGGTGGAAAAGGGCATTGAGTTTGAAGAAAAATGTCACTGCTTCTCCTTTTTTTTTTTTTTTTATAAATGTGCTACAAAACCTATTATTTCCCATGTACTTACTTAGCAGGCTGGAACCAGGGAACCGCCAACTGTCTCCGTATGCAGCGTAAGCCCCGTGGCTATATGCATTACCAGAGTAATCACTTCCTGCTGGGAAAACAAGAGCTGTCAGGTCACACAGAACAGCAGGCACAACATCTCACCTTAACAGTGCTACGAGGCAATGCGGCTGATATCTCACTCATAGGGCACCCTGCACTCCCAGATGCACACTGCAGAGTCAGCTTAGGTAAAGCAGGTCCCATGTGAGTCCAATGGTAACTGTTTTTGGGATACGTGGAAGCTTTACTGGATAAATCAATGCTTGAAGTGCACAAGATCAAAAATGTAACATATAGCAGCTAACCGGTCCTTAGATGTGGTGGCTGCATTCGTTTTTCTCCCCTTTATTTTCAACTGGTGATCCTGCTAACAAGACAGTTCCTGTCCTAGGGTGACTCCCACACAGATTCAGAACAGGGGGTGAGTGTAGTCACCTTAGGACAGGAACTGTCCGCCAGCTAGGCCACTAGCTCCTGATTTGGACTAGACCAGCGAACACCTATCCTTCTACACACCTCATTACATGACCACGTCTATTTTCTTCTTTTATAAAAATTGCAAAGAAGAACTAATGAGTACCGAAACACCTGCCAGGGTCTTGTATCTCCTTCCCCATGCTGGTATCCCCAGCTCAGCTCCTTCCACAGTCATAAGAGGTCAGTCCACCCGAACCTGATATTTTGTTTTTTAGTAGATGCTGGAGACTTCCAACACAAGCACAGTTTCTTAAATCACTCAGTGCTCTCAGAATCCCCCACATCCCCACTAGATCTCTGTGCTAGAATCCCCACTAGATCTCTGCTAGAAACCCCACATCCCCACTAGATCTCTGTCCTAGAAACCCCACATCCCCACTAGATCTCTGTGCTAGAAACCCCACATCCCCACTAGATCTCTGTACTGAAATCCCCTCATCCCCACTAGATCTTGGTACTAGAATCCCCTCATTTCCACTAGATCTCTGTCCTAGAATCCCCACATCCCCACTAGATCTCTGTCCTAGAATCCCCACATCCCCACTAGATTTCTGTCCTAGAATCCCCACATCCCCACTAGATCTCTGTACTAGAATCCCCACATCCCCACTAGATCTCTGTACTAAAATCCCCACATCCCCACTAGATCTCTGTACTAGAATCCCCTCATCCCCACTAGATCTCAATACTAGAATCCCCACTAGATCTGTGTACTAGAATCCCCACATCTGTCCTAGACATTACTGGAGGGTCCCACTCTCATAATGTATTTAAAATTATGGAGAATGCAACAGGACAAGTGGGACTGCCTATAAGAGGGCTGAACCTCCCGAGGCCAAATTTCTGTTACTGAAGCCCTTTGACTCAAGACATTTGGCACCGAATGTAACGCTCTGTTAAGACCACCTCCCAATGTAACACTCTGCTAAGACCACCCCTCCTACAAGGAACATTTGCTGATCATCACCTGGCTGTGACAAAATGTAAATAAGCTTATGTGAGTTGAGCCTATATCTACTGATTATGGGGAAAATAGTAAATCTAACACTGGGAACACATCTGGCAAGAACAGAGCCAGGAACTAATGCATACAGTTCTTTCTCCATTAGATGCAACAAGCCAATAGGTGAAGCAGTCTGATAGACTTCAAATATCTTATTTAGGTTGAATGGCCATTAGGATTTGCAGCTCAGATTTAGGCTGAGGAATGCTGTCCCTTGTCAAATACTTCATATGAATCACTGGTGAATTTGGAAGGGGTCACAGCATGGATAAAAGCTTTAATTATTATAGTTCTGGGTTAGATCGTGGACCAACAATCACAGCAGTATTCAAATTGTGTAAAAAAAGGCCAGTATCAGCTTCAGGCAATCATACTGTTTGGCCCATTATGTCAAAATATAGAATAGAACAGTGGTAGGTTACCTAAGCACTCCATCTGTGGTGAAACTACCAATCCCGTTATGCTTTTGGGAGCCATGCCTGTGGCTGTCAGTCTTGCAATGCCTCATGAGACTTGTAGTTTCACCGCAGCTGGGGTGCCGAGGTTGCCCACCCCTGGAATATAACTTCATTCTCATCTTTGAGGTTCTCAGTAACGTTGAGCACCAGCACATCTACAGCTCAATGTGGACATGGTGGGATGTGGTATGGGTGTGTAGGTAATTGACTTCCTGAAAAGTCAAGCTTTGCTTACTAGGGTTAAGCTTCTCCTGAGTTGCTCTATGATTAGAAGAATGGGACAACCTAATTCATTAAATACAATGGCCATCCCTGCCTATGATATATAGCTTGCAATGCTAAAGGCTCAGCACCAGTACTTAAAAAGAATTCCTTTTACCCAACACCGAATTGACATTCTTCATGCTGCCAGAGTCATACATAACCAGTATAGCATATAATAGGACATATATAAATGTAGATTATTGCAATATATCACTCTTACTAAATCCATGCACAAAAAATGGTATATTAAAATGGTCAAATAAAATTATTCATTATCTTTCCCAAAGCATCCTAAACCCTAAGTAGATTAGCCTAACACGCATACATAAAGGGTAAATGGGCATGCAGATTACTGGGAGCTGAGAACGGTTCTGTCTCATATACACACAGAGTTAAACTATAACTGCTTCTCTTTATTTATCTTGACCAATCTCATTTCACGCTCCAGGAGAGGAAGGAGTGTGTGCGTGCGGGTGTGTGTGTGGCTGGGGAGGGGGCATAAGTACTTTATATTTTTAACGCTGCATTAAGCGCATCTCCGTGGTAACACAGTAACACGCTGGCTCAGCAGGTTCCGGAGCTGTGAGCTGCGTGGGTGGGGTTGGGGGGAATTCGGAATTCTGCATTTCTCTTTCATTTAAATATACCTGTAGAGGTCACCTGGGGTCATCCATATTCTCAATGGTATCATTTTATAGATATGCACTAACTGGCATCTGATAAATAGATACCCTCATCTGATACCCCCATGAGCACAACCCCCAACCGCTAAATATGGCGGCATCTAACAGTAAAGGAATTCGGTACCAGCGAGACAAAACCGAAATATAAAATGATCAAAGAAAAAGACCTATAAACTAATAATGGACCAAACAACATTGATGTGTCCGTGTACAGAGACGTTAGTGCCACCTTAGCATGCGTGTGGTTCGGTTATTGTGAAGGAAATGTGCAGATGTCTCCGGTTCCAGTTTTATCTTGAGATAAACAATAGCGACCGGCTGGAGAAAATCTAACCCAGCTGAATTATTCCCCGAGGAACATTTGTCAAGAGTGCCTGCTGGTATTCCTTGATAGAGCAATTATTTCTTAGTGCGGCCAATTTGGGGAGGAATCATCATCATATGTCTATGGATACATTTACAGATAGACCTGGTGGTTGGGTATTAGGAAAAATATCTGAATGTGCAAAGTGCCCCCATCCCATCGCTCTTATGACAATGCTCATTTATGGAAATAGTAGACACCATCAGAGCTAATCATAAGGTTCAGTCTGCTTGAAAATGTTTCATGGACTTTGTACTTGGGCTTTTGTTTGAATTAGAACTGCTTTAATCCTTATACAAGGCAAGGGGAATGCCAAAGCAGCTTGATGCCAGCATAGAGGGAGGTCAACTGCAGACCAAAAAGAGGTCAACTGCCTGCTAGAAGCACCTGATCAGAAGTATCTGAAAAAACAAGATAAATCCACCTGTAAGCTGCAGTTGTCCACCTACACAAGCCCTGAATTTGCCAAGAGCTGTTCCTCTACCAACAGGTCCCTTATGTAAACAAAGGGCCAGTTCACTGTCTTTAAGAATGCAGGGGGGGGGGCAGACAGTGGGAGTAGAAAATACCCCAGCATCAGTAGGAATTAACAATGCTCCAGGTTCAGTGGTCAATTGAGAGTGATTGAGAGAAAATTACCTATTTCAGATCAGTGGGTGGGAGGAATAATACTCCATTGTTGGTGTCAGTGGGAGGAATAGTATCCCATCGTTGGAATCAATGGAAGGAATAGTGCCTCATTACAGTTTCAGTGGGAGACTTAGTGCACTAGCAATGGTGTCAATGGGAGGAATTACACCCCATTGATGGTGTCAGTGAGATGAATTGTGTCCAGTTGTTGGCATTAGTGGAAGGAATAGTTCCGCAAGGACCAGTGTAAGCAAAGGACTGTAGTTTGGAGATCACTGATCTAGAAGGATACAACCATTCGCATCTGCTGAGGTCACAGGTACCCTATACATGTGCCAACATATTTACAATCCTGACAGAACTGCAGGCATAGAACAACAAACACCCATGTTTCTTTCAATGTGGATTTCTGGTAGATACAGCATGACCAGATTGCTGCAAAGCTCTAACGATATTACGTCTCACCATACTAAACAGGGTTATCTGATCTACATTACTAACACGGTTTCACCCCTCATAGAAATTTCAGGTATGGGAAATACTTGTATGATTTGAAAACCTGATCCCTGCTCAATAGTTGTCAGAAGTCAGTAAATGCAACTTTTACTAGATCGTGGATTGTTGCCTGTTTAGGGGGCCATTACCTTGTTCATTGCCCATCTGGCACAGACACTACATTCGGCACATTGGAAAGCAATAACTTAAAAGCATAGAACAGAAGCGAAACCAGAGGAAGCTGTAAGAAAGGCATCCATAACATACCTGCAACCATTCCGGCAATAGCAGATGAAGCATAGTTTCCTTGACCACTGGGTATGTGTGGTGGATACCCTGGCAGAGTTGGCCCCACAACATCACGCCCTGTGAAAAAGTTAAGAGGAAATGTTGTTGTTCCTTGTAGCAACCCAAGGTAACATTGGAAGACTTAAAGTATACCTATCATGAGAAAAATCTAAGGGATGAAAATACTAGCTGACTGGCTGAGTCTGGCTTTAATATTTCCATGTCATAGACCAGGAGCAAACATGCAACAAATGAGGGAACAGCTCAAAAACTACCCCAACCTGTATTTTATAGATTAGAAGGTTTGCATGGGAATGTACATAACCATACTCAACTGATCCAACCACCTCTGCTGTGTTGTATGAGTGGGCAGGATATGGAGGTTTCATTTTGAAGAGCCCACGGCTCTGCAGACTCTGTGCCAAGTCCCCCACCCACTCACATTTCCCCTTGGTTTGAAGCATGGGCCCTCTCACCACCACATGCCTGATTTAAACTCTAATCTAGAGCATGGGAACCTGGTATACTATCAAACTTCAAATAATTCCACCAGCTAGTTTAAAAACCAGATTTATGAGTTTATAAGAGTTGTATTACAAAAATAAAAGCTGTTTTTTTTATATGGAGCTCACGGGGTTGGTTTACTAAAGGCAAATGGGCTGTTCACTTTGCAAAATAATTTTCCCTTAGCTTAGTGAATCTTTGCTGAATTCCATCATCCAATCATGGGCAAGCAAAAATACTGTTCTTCTTATCGTGGTTGGGTATTCTTTTCAAAGTGAATTTTCACCACATTCATTAAGCTAAGTGAAAATTCCCTCCAAAATTAACATTTGCCTATTTGCCTTTAGTAAAACTACCCCATTGAATCAAGTGTGTTGGGTGGCTTTGGAATGTCAACTGGAGTTCTGGTTTTATGACTTGGATGTTTCCTGCATGAAGACCATGAAGTCTGCCATGCATATGATGGGGATGCGGTGGACGGTTGCATGCCCATAGGCCCATAGACATTTAATTACAGTTTCCCCTTTCCAGCCATTTTTTAATTTTTTTTCTAAGAGATGTGAAAGGTCTCTGTGGTCAGAAGATAATGACGGTACTTCCTTATTAGAGACTTCCATCCAACAGAGTCCAATTACTGTTCTGTTGAGTTTGATGGGTTAGGCAACATACTACTGCATTTGTGAATCCTGTAGCACCTGCAGTTCATCCATACCTGTAACTGCCTGACTTGTGAACTGTCCATACACAGAGGTTGCGGTAGAAAATGCGCTGAAGGGCGTGGCCGCAGCTGCCGAACCGATCGACTGCAGATCCAAAAAGGCGGGGCTATATAATGACGTAGGGGTGGAGCCTGTGCTGGAACTGTCAGATGGCTCTTGTTTAATGGTGAATGATGACAGCTCTGTAATGATGAAATGAGATGGAAACTTAAAATACCAAAAGGAAACAAGCGTGGGGTATGTGTTTGGTTAATGGAGCTGCGTTGTGAAATATCAAATCCCACTGTGAACGTAATGACAATGTATTTCCTAATGACTTATGATGGTTCTGCAAAATTAATTTTTTGTGTGCTAAATTTATAATAATTCCCAATCAGAGGAAAATAAGGTTTTTTTCAATGTTGTATTTATTTTGTCTATTTTTCTCAGATTAACCAAATGCAAACCTCATAAATTACATATGCTAATGGTTGGAGTTTTTCCATGATGGATTTTGGTGGTTGAGGATTAGGCATCTAATAATATAAAATCAATCAAGAATAATCACAAACAGGTCACGCTGCCGGTGACATCACTCACAAGTAACTTTATTAAGCAAAACCAATCTGGAGTATACATAGCAGTCCCTGCTTAGGTAACGATCAGTCCTTTCAAAATTGATGTTTAGTTATGGTTAGCCCTTGGCTTGTCTTAGCTAACCCAACTGTGAGATCTCCCTGCCATCATTGCCAACTGTCCCTCTGGGAGATTTGGGCGTTCCCCCCACCTTTGTGTGTTCCAGGATCTCCTGCTGCATTATTTATAATACAAACTAAGTTAAAAAATTCAACACAGCAGGTGAAAGTCTCTAGTGATGGTCACAGCGGGTGTGCAGATCCAGGTACTCAAACTAAAGCTGGCCATACACTGAACAACTTTTGTCCAATTGTGGATGAATCAGCAAAACGTTGCTCAATGGGTGGCCATGTCGGCAGCCTCCCACCTACCAACCTTCCATAAGGAGATCAGTGAGAGATTCCTCCATACATGCTATGTATTGCCAGCTTATAGATCTCACCAATAGAGTCTTCAAAATATATATATAAAACATTGATGGGGGGTTTCACCCTTTGTAGCCTACCAAAAACTGAAATATAATTTTTTCGGTGAACTAACCTTCAACATCATGAGTATTATAATGTAAAGATATATACACATCTAATTAGAAACATTATGTACAGTATATACAGTATAAGCCTATTACATAAGTCTTTCCTTTCAATGCAATTTGGTAACTTTAAAGCAGTGATTCTCAACCTGTGTAACCTCAGGACCCACATTTGTCCTCGGTCATTAAGTCGCGACCCAAGTTCCACTGCAATGGAAGGCACGGCAGTGTGGGCTGCTGTACTGTGACGGAGCTCCGTCCATATGTGCATTGCTTGTACAGCTCCAAAGCATGCCCTGTAGAGGTGTCGGGAGTCAGAATGTGATGTCACTCCAGTCCAGGCACCACTACAGGACATGTGAGGGAGCTGTAAGCAATGCACGTATGGATGGATCTCCCTCGCGGCCATACCCCCAGCACACCCCAGCTCAAGCTGACACTCGGCAAAGGGCAGCATATTTTGAATGGCTGCTCGGTGTAAGAATGGATGGCGCTGCGCTAGGGGGAGGCAGAGGAGCCTCTCACCTAGAAAAATGGAAGGCATGCGGCGACCCACTGAACACGGGGCCGCGACCCCCTTTTGGGTCACAACCCACCAGTTGAGAACCAAGGCTTTAAAGCTTAGCATCCAGGTAAATGGCTGAATATACAGTAGAAATACGTATTTGGGAGTTCCATGCTAAAGGTTTGTATTTCTGTCTATCCATTAATTAAATTTACACACGCTTGCTATACAGGTTGGGGACCTGACTTTTCTGCAATTACACAATACAGCTTGGTCACCTCCCTGCTCACAGCCTGTGAATGGACAGTTAAGGAATAGGAACAGACTTGGCCAGAGATCTTACCTGAGAGAGAGGAGTACCCCTGGTGTGTAGACAGGTTCCTGCTGAGAGTGGCGTTAGAAGAGGCCAATGCTGATTTCCCATCATCCATTGCATTGTTGAGGAGGGGCAGAGGATAGAGAGCCTTTAAATGTTAAGACAGTTAATTAATTCTCAGTGAAGAGTGTATATGATGAGAGCAATGACACAATCTTTGGGTGTACTCACTTGCTCAGCTTTACTGTGACTAGCCGAGGGGTAGGAGTCAGGAAAGTGTTGCCTCTGGAAGGGGCACTCCAACCCATCTAAAGGGTGCTGAATGTAACCTTCTGTCCGCAGATGTTTCCGGCTCAGTCCACCACTACCCTGAGAGTCAATGCTGAGTCTGCAGCTGTCCTGATCACCTGAGAGCCACAAAAACAGAGATTATTTAATAATGTTGTGTGAAAAAAGGAAGGATGTTGTCTTATATATAGCTATTTGAGCATTAGAAAATTGATGTTATCTGAAACCCTCAGAGTAACTTGGGGGAAGGAGCTAGATCTGGATGTTTCAAATTTGACTTGGGAAGATGCACGGTGAGTAGTAGGACCCAAGAAACTCATTTTAAAATCCTTACTCGTTGGTATAGGACCCAGTACTTCTTCACAGGATAGACCCTAAATGCCCGAGATCTGTTGGAGATGTAAATCCGAACGGGGAACACTGCTCCATATATTTTGGTCGTGTACCCTTATTCAGCCTTTTTGGAGGCGGATTCATGATCTTATTTGTCAAATCACTGGAGTACAGCTGACTTTTACACCTGGAGTATACTTACTACATCTCCCTGAAAGGGATGCTGTGGGACCAGATAAATCCCTTAGCAAACATCTGATACATGCAGCCAGATCACTGATACCCAGGTTGTGGAGGGACACTAGGGCCCCTACGATCACCAAATGGGTCCATCAGGTGGATTATATTACTGAAATGGAGGAACTCCTTTTTACTAAGCAAGATAAACTAGACAAATTTTCTAGATTATGGGCTCTGTGGGGTCATTTTTGTTGTGGTGACCAATATGTAAGACCTAAATCAGGTTCTACTTTGATGTTGGAATGAGCCCTGGCGGTGTTCTTAGGAGATTTGTTGGATAAATGCCAATCCCCCACAAATATAGTTGGGGTGTATCCCTAGTGATACACATATAGCCACCTTTTTGCTATACTTGAAGGGATGAAAAGCTTATTTGACTTTCTCTTCTTGGGAAGGCTCCTTGCACTTCATTTCATGCCCTCTGACGAAATGTGTACTATGTGGTTTTTCCCCTTTTTTCATTGTTCTCTGTATTTGTATTGTTTTGTTGAGTTTTATTGTGATAATTATACTGCTTCTGTATACAGTATACCTTTTTTATGCACAATAAAAATCTTAAATTAAAACAAAAAAAGAAAATGGTAGTTATTGTATTGCAATGGAAGCAGAAATTATAATTCAAGTTGGAGAATGATTTTTGAAAAGCAAGGCTAAAGTAGAGCTATTATCCATTACAACCAATCAGAGTCCTTGTTTTCCAGTGAATAAAAGACAAAACCTGATTGGTTGGTATGGGGCTTTCATTTGCTCAGGGAGTTGCTCCAAGATGTCTTTGAGCTGCTTTGAGTTGCTTTGGCATTCACTTTGACTCAAACCCTTTTTTGGGCTCCAGGTTTTCTAAATCAATCCCCAAGTGTGTAGCTACAATGTTCCAAGTAGCCTCTTCTTTTCCATAACTACTTTTTATTTATTAGAACAGAATTCTGAAAACTGGAGCAAAATGAAGCTGCTGCCCATAGCAGCAAGTTCGGGGTCACCTCTCATTCTTAAAGAATATGGTTGGCTGGTTGATATTGCCATTGACTCGTATTTGGTTCCAGTAGCCTTTACTTCTGTTTTTATAAATCCTCCTTAGTATTTATTTACAGATTCAGGTTTATTTACTCGATGATCATTTTTATGTCAAACAAGAAAAATATATTATCGCTCCACCTCCACACCTAATTCCAGCTTTCAGGGATCACTGGTGTCAGGTTCAAAGTGCCTGCTTACCTAGTTGCAGAAAGTAATTCCTGAGAGAGTTCTGCACACAGCATAGGCTGTCTGAAAGGGTCTTATTTCTTCATATACAAAACTCCATAAAAGTATGGCAGTAACTAGTTCTGCTAATGCGTTTCAGCCATAAGAGCCTTAATCCTAGGTTTGATTAAGTCTGTTATTGCTGAAATGCCTTAGCTGAACTGTTTACTGCTGTATTTTTATGAAGTTTTATATATGAAGAAATAATACATTTTCAGGCAATCCATGCTGTGTGCAGGACTTTCTCTGGACTTACTTAATCAATTGTATCCCTGCTTTGATTGTGTGTTTTGGCAGCAGTATATTTGTATATGTAAGACTGCAGTGACATTAACAACTCAGCCCTGTAATTTATTAAAGCCAATTAGAAATGTTGCTTTCTTTACTACATCCTAATGGAAGAAGGTTTCTGATTGGTGGTATTAATTACTGCACATCAATGGTGTTTTTTTAATCAATATAATATAACAAGTCATAGAGAATATGGAAGGAATCAGGCCTTGCACTCACTGTCATCCAGTTTGTGTTTTCCATTAGAGCTGGGCTGTGTTATCCCCAGCAATCCACTGATTGAGTATGTAGAGCCAAGGGAGTCCGAATGGGGAGACTGAGGAGGAGTTACAGCTGAACTGGGAACTGTCAAGAAAGAAGACATATTCTTATGAATTAATTTACAGAAAACAAATTGTCTCCAGTATAATGCATTTCTAGTCAGCCTTTTACCAAAATACTCAGATAGCGGATCTTCCATAGGCATAAGGTACCTGTGAATAAAACCAGCCTTGAGAAAAAATACTTGCCTGGCTGTTATACTGACCACCTGCCATTCTCAATGCTAGCAAGTAGACCCTCATTCTATGTCATCATCTCAGAGTATTCAAGCTAGACAGCCAGGCAGCTATCATTTTCAGAAGGAACCCAGCAATGGCAGCCCCCTCATTTCTCCTGGGACAGGTTTCCTTGGAGTGGTTATTAAAGAAATCTTTGTACACTGGTGTTGTAAATTTACATGTATAGTTCATCAAACCTATTCCACAGGTGTAGATTATGCTGCTTGACTGTGACTTTAATGTATAAAGGTGCAGTGACCTTGAAGCATTGCCCTATACCGCATAGCTGAAAGCACATCTACATTAAAAAGATAGTAGCCAGACTCATTCGTGGTGGGTTACATGCGCCCCGACCCAACCTCTAGGGCTGGGACACACCTGACAAGCACCATCATTCTTTGGGTATCTTGGCAGGTCTGTTCTCGTCCTTCCGGGAAATCGGTCTTCCCTTAGCTACAGCAGTTGTGAGATGTACAGACGCAGTACGTTCCCCATCAACTTATACTCATTGTTATAGTCATTGACTCTTCAATTGTCATCAGTATGTCCATTTTGGAGATGGGTGTTGAGACACACCTGGGAAGTCTGTTTTTGTACTTTCTGAAAGTTCTCTTTTTGTTCTTTTGTATCTGTTTATTTGTTATGCTCAATATTTGTATTTTGAAAAAACTTTTAAATAAAGAATGCAAAAAAAAAGATATTAGCCCTTCTCCCTCAAACTTGGATAAAAAAGATAGCAAATGCAACTTTCCCAACCCAGAACAGATCCCCCCCCCTCCCCTCCCCCGTTGGCTTTCTGGAGCTGTCCCACTTCTGCAGAGATCCGCCCTGGGTGCTATTATCTTGATATATGACTTTAAGCTGGGGTGGGAGCTCCCAGCTGTACACAGGTGCAGATGTAACCTGGTCCAGGTCTACTACCAGCCTGACCAATCAGACGGTCTGCCTAGGGACCAGGAACCATGGCAGGGAGCAGGGAGTATTTACCAGCCACTCTACTAGTGCCAGTTTAATTATTGGAACTGTGCTTATGTTTCATGCCACATGCTATTTGATGTGAACCTTAAAAATGTTCCAAACATGTCCTACCAATTGGACGTGAACATTACATTTCTACTATACTATCTACAGACCAGCCTTTCTCAACCAGGGTTCCATGGAACCCTAGGATTCCTCCAATGGGTTGCTGGGGGTTCCTTGAACAACAAGAAATGTTTTCCTCCCCCAAAAAAGTAACCCCTGACAACAATGATCTTTTTAGCTATCTGTAAGGCTGGGGGGTAGTCTCTCCAATGAACGTGAATGTAAGGAGCATTTTTCCCAGTGACTATCACATGAATGTACAGTGAGCTAAAGATATACAGGGTTATTCACAAAATGGTGAAGAGTTTGGAGAAGACAGGAGAAGTGAACAATCCAGGACAATATCGCTGAACTGGAAAGTGGGCTGAATTGGAGAATATTTCCAAATCGGCTATGTTGTCCTAGATTGTTCACTTCTCCTGCCTTCTCCAAACTCTTCACCCTTTTGTGAATAACCCTGATAACAATTATTAGCTGGGGTTTCCCGAGTCCGGAAAGCTATTTCAAGGGTCCCTCCATGGTAAAAAAAAAAAAAAAAAAGAAGTTGAGAAAAGCTACTGTAGACACTAAACCTGCTCTCCCTTTACAGAGCTAGGACAATATCCACCATCAGACATGATAATTACACAATTCTACTACTGACTTACTCAGAGTTTGTCCTGGACTTAAGGATTTCACACAGGTCTCCATGGGTAAGTTAAATAATTGCTGGACTTTTGTGCGTATTATTCTGTAAAGAGAAAGATATGGACATTAGGTACTAGCAACGTTGTCTTTAAATACATCACAGTCATCACTTCCTTCAACCCAGTTTTCCCGTTCATTGACACTGTATTCTGAATCATTTGAAATAAAGGCATCATTATCCGCAGATACAAACCACATGAATGCATCAATCTCCTCAATATAGTTTATAAGTGCCTAGTGCAAAATATTGTCACTACAAGTAAGGAAATGAAATATAATTGTCTGATTCAATTAGACACCATGGTACTAATGTGTCAACATTACTACTTGTTTGTCCATTTGTTCATGCATTTCAGTGAGATATGTATAAGTCATGAAGATCTTTGAAGCCTGTTTGTGCCTCAATATTGGGCAGTTGTCTCATATTTCTGTGGCTAGAACCCTTAAGTTAGAAATTCCCAGTTTGAGTTTTCCATAACTGACCCCTGACCACTATGGTTCTAGTAAATACTCATTTCAGGAACATTACAGACATTTTAGGCCTCACATGTTATAATCTGATTTGTACAATTTCTTTTCGATCTACTAATACCTTCCTGACTGAACAGATTTTTAGGTAGGCCGTCACTTAACATAGCTTTGGTAAAGCTAACAGAGACCATACTATCAAAAGTAAAGTGTACAGAAAGCGTAAAGGCAATGCTAATTTTTTGAGAAAAAATGATAAATGCACCCTTCTTCCTAAAAGAAGAAATATACATTTATTTATTTTGCATTACAACAGGTAAAGCATCACAACCATGATCAGTGGATCATGGGTACAATGCTCCAGCTCCTGCAGACTCTCCAACCCATATCTGTACCTTGGTACAGGCATTCATAGGCATTTATATAGCGTCAACAATTTACCCAGCACACATTCATATCAGTCCCTGCCCCCAAAGAGCTTACAATCTAAGGTCCCTATCTCATGTGCATACATACAGGACTGATTTTAGAGAGGAGCCAATTAACCTTTCAGCATATCTTTGGAGTGTGGGAGGAAACCCATCCAAGCACAGAGAAAACATGCAAACTCCTTGCAGATAGTGTCCTGACCCGGATTTGAGCCAGGGACCCCCAGTGCGGCCAGGCAGAAGTGCTAACCACTACACCATTGTAATTCCATGGAGTTCTTTATTTCATGGAGAATTACATGTTGCTCTGCCATAGTAGTAAATGGGGCTTGTACTTCCTCCATATCGCAGATGCTGTGACATGCTTGTAACATGTAACATGAGACATGATCCAAACGATGAACTTAGCCTTTAAAGTCTAAGTGCACATTTCTGAGCATGTTTCATGTGACACCCGTATTCAAGGTGTGACAAGAAGCATAGTCACATCGGCACCAGGGTATACTCCCACCAATACCCAAACAGATACACGTTCAGATTAAATCCACATTGTATCCTCTTACGATACCTGTTGATGGAGCTGACGCTGGGCACCGTGTCATTGTCACAGACTCCCTCCGCCAACAGCCGGTCACGGATCTCCCAGGCAAACATGGTGGGGTTTTGCCGCTTATAATCGCCGATCTTCTCCACCACTTTAGGGGTAGCAACTTTGGGCTTTGAACCACCAATGACTCCTGGCCGGATACTGCCTGTTTCATAGTACCTACTCCAATGCAAAATAAGGTATAATTACCCAAAACCATCAGTCTGCCCCTGCCCCATGATTGCACTAGGTACGGTCACATGAATTGTATGTAAACCCCATAATCTACTTTTTAACAGGTTTGGCATCAGGAAATACTCTATACAGTTTTTGCAAGTAAATTGATTTTTGTTAATCTTCAAAGATTCTTACCTGGAGATCCTGCCTGTAACAGCACTTACTTTTGAACGGTGACAACGGTAAGAAGCACCTGTCTTGCCATTAGCAGCGACATTGTCAGCCTGTCTTGTGTTCTCCCTTAGTTGGCCATTGAGCTACCTGTCTCATAGACCTGATAGACACCCCAACTACAGGTGTGCACACGGCAGTCTGACAACGCTGCTGCTAATTACAAGGCAGTGGTGTAAAGGCATAGTCCATCTTTTGAACAATGTTATTAAATGCATATGCGTTGATAAAAGAAAAAAAAGTGCACATATTGATTTTTTTGCATTCATGCCTGCAGAAAGCTGCACCCATAATTGGTGAATTGAGGGTGCCATGGGCAGGCTCCTGTAGACTCTTCCCCCCCCCTGCAAGAGTGGTGATGTCACCACACGTGTGCCCCATTGAGATACATGAGTCCCTATGCCAGGGGCGTCCTGAGGCTGGGTGACACCCAGAGCGGAGATCGGGTGACACCCCGCCGTGACATCATCGTGCATGCGCGTGACGTTGCCGCGTGTGTGCGTGATGACGTCATCGCATGCGCGGTCGTCTTATTGACTCCTGCCGGCGGCCATCTTGGTGATAGACTCCGGCAGAGAGAGGAGGGGATGTTCACCCGGCGGGTTGAGGTATGTCGCCGGGTCCCCTCCTCTCTACTGACACTGTCGGGCTCTCGTTCCGCGACCGAGTGTCTGACTATTCATAGGGGGTGACACCAAAATGACTATCAGTCATTTTGGTGTCACCCCTCCAATGGTGGCACCCGGGTGCGGGCCATACCCCCTGCACCCCTCTTGTGACGCCACTGCCCTATGCCACACCCTGTAAATGGATCTGTGAATGAATGATGCAGCCGCGCGGGCCATGTCGAGTTCAAATGAAAAAAGGAAGCTGCGGGGAGAAGAACCCCATGGATTAGGTGAGTGGTGAAGCCGCTTTTGGGTTAGGGGGTTGGGGAATTTGACCATGTTTCATTTACACCCATATTCAGGGTCAGTAAGCTAGACTATATGATTTTAATGTTGTCAGCCTTCAAAAGGAAGTACTGTCACTGGCAGGATGTCCAGGGAAGAAACTTTGCAATCGATTAACAAAAATCAATTTGCTTAAGAAGTCTGTATAGAGTGTGACCAAAAGATGCCAATGATGCCAATGATGCCAAGCCTACTGACAAACAGAATCTGGATATATGTACATTCTAATTGTGAAATGAGATCTGTAATCATAACAACAATAACTGGTAATACATACAGTATAGTAAAACTGTTTCACAAGTCTTGTGCTGACCATATTTATTCTCCATGAGGTATAGTAATGTAGTTTTTATTTTTAGTTTTGGATGGAGTTGGGGGTCTCTGATTATTTTTGATTGCTATTCATTTGTGAATAAATTCATTTCATGTCATTGAGGCAGTCTGTATGACGGCACTGTTCTATCTCATTGCTCCTAGAATACCGGTAACAAGGACAGGGAGTAACTACGTGGGATGTGTATGTGTGTGGGAGACAATTTTTACGTTGATCACAAATAAAAAATAAAATAGGTTTCTCTTATCTAGTAAATGGGATATTGAAAAGACTTCTGTTGCCCTGGCTGAAGTGTATTTTGGGATGTGTGGCCTGCTGGCTCTTCGTAGGGCTCATTCCCATGGACACAAATACAGGCATATCAACATACAGCAGAAAATATACTGGTATTGTGTTCTGCCCGAGAGCCCCAGCTGTGGTGTATTTGTGTCCATAAGATTGTAGGCTTTACTTAGCAAGTACTTGGCTCCAAGTTCCGCGCCCACAGCCTCTTTCCCCCTCCATTACGGAGGCCCGCTGATGTCATCATGCACAATGCAGGCTCCATAAACCTGCATTATATGTGAGGGCATTGAGGGACAGTCCATGAGCTGGAGTGAAGGGGGAAACGGTGAGCGCCAACTCCTGGGGGAGCAAGGATCGGTCCCCTAAACATAAATAAGCAGTTAACCCTTACAATGCGGGGGGTAGGTTTTGTTTTTTCTCGGAGATAGGCTTTAAGGCAAAATGTGTGTGGCCAGAAAATGTCTGTTTTCGGCTATTACAAAGATAAGGGTTCTTGAATCATCTTGTATTGAGGTGGTGAAGGATCTTATACTGAATAACACTGAATAACACAATAAGGTAGATATTTTTTATATTAGGGAAGCAGTATACAGTAGTATAGTAGGAAACCTATTCTTTATAATGGGGGATTGGTTAGGTGGACACTCTGCTTCCATTGGATGTCTGGATTCCTGGCTTCTTTCCTGCCAGGAATCATGCTGACACATCCATGACTGATGTGTCAGCATGATGTGTCAGCATGCAGAGAGATGTCACAGGGATGCACGCCTAGGTGCGCCAAGTCTACAATGCGCTGCCTCACTAATATTAGGGAACTAGTATACAATATTATAGTGGGGACCTTACCCTATATAATGGAGATTTAGTTAGGTGGACACTCTGCTCCCATGGGATGTCTGGGTTCCTGGCTCCTTACCTGCCCAAAATCTTGCTGACGCATCCATGACTGACCCTCAGCTGCCGCGAGATGTCGCAGGGACGCACGCCTTGGTGCGCCAAGTCCACAATGCGCTGCCTCACCACTTCTGGGAGGGGACGCCCGTTCACAAATGCTCCTCCTAGTTGATTTAGGCCACCATGACCTGGATGAAGGAAACACGGCTGGTGTTACTCTAATGCACATATTAGGATCATTCTTCACACATAGTAAGGGACAACATCTAACATAGACTGCTGGTCAAACATGTTTAAGATGCTTTATGATGAGGTGTGTTCTAGGCAATAAAAAGATGGCTGAATACTTGAAGGCTAGATGTGGGCTTTAATTGGTATCCCTCAGCAAGATTAGACAATGTAGTTTGATAGGAACCTTATTTTAGGGTCAATGAACAGGCCTGCCTGACACTCCTGACTCCCGGATCTTTTAATGGTTGCACAATATAAGTATTTTTGAAGAGGGAGGCTATAGGTGGACCAGGTATGGGCAATTGAAAGCTGATAAAGCAATACTTGCCAGAACCTTATAACAGGTAACAGAAGCTACGGAATGCCACCACAGCAAAAACCGCTGATCCTGGATCTCACAACAGCCATTCATGTGACCAAGTGCCTACATAACGTGTCACACGATCTTTAAAGAAGGGGAGTCTTGGTCAGTTTGAGGTCTAAGGTTCCCCATAAATGATACAATCTAGCTGTACAATTAATTTTATATCTATCAAGGCTATGTAATATGAGGGCCTACCGTAACTATCCAATCAGGCAGAACATTGTATCCAATCAGGCAGACCATTCAACTGCATAATTGTTGATAGATCTTTTAGATTATACAATCAGATTTTAACATGTGGCTTAACACTTTATTTCAGCAAGGGCCATGTGACTAAAAATGCCTGTAAATTTGATCATATGACCAACTGCCATGTGATCCAAGTGTTTTGTTGCAACTGTTACATTTTCGGACTTTAACAGTATCCAGCCACCGGATAGGGGTATTACTATAGCTCCATTGAAACATGAGTTTTTCTGAGATTAAGCTTGGGATTATGCTTGGGGAAATCTTGGGAAGCATTGGCTGCCTTGCTCCGTAAGTCTATCCAGCCCCAATAGATGATACAACTAATGTACAAATAGTTCGGATTTCTTCCTCAAACTTAATTTTAGGTCAATTGGATTGACTTACTAAAGGCAAAAAGGCCAGGGGAAAATGTCAGCCAATGTGATTTTAGCAAATAAACCCAATTGTCTATTAGTACTGTCCTATAAATTCTACGTGATATGAAAACCTCTCTATAATGCTACATTGTGAATGGGTGAAAGCTGATTTCATCTGTACTGTATAGAACACCTAAGGATTCAGCTATATGTGTGCCCCCAGTGCTGTAGGTGGGTGACCCTGCATGCTGCACATAACATTAATAGATGTAACTGCTGACCTATATGCAGTGAGCTGAGCGGTCCTGTGCGGCCTCCCTCTGTGATGAGCTCTGTGGACAAACGCAGTGTTAAGATACAACAAAACTCAAATGAATAAAGTTACTTTGGGGTAATGTGAGGCTTTAATGTCTCAAAATAATCCTTAGGTTATGTATATGCAAGTACCCAAAGGAAGAGCTTAGAAAGCGATCTGTGGCCCCTCCAAAATCTATACCAGACCCTTGTCCCAGATAGAGGTCTGGTATGGATTTTAAGGAGGGATCCCATGCAATACATCAAACTCTGGAAATCGCCTTCCTTGGATTAGCATCATTAAAGGCATGATGTTGTGCGAAAATCCTGAAGCACCCTTGCGGAAGCTAGAAGGCGCCCCACGGTGCCATGACACAATGGTTTAGAAAGGCTGGTCTAGAACATAATTTCTCAACTCCAGTTCTTATATATCCCCAATGGGTCACGTCTTCACAATATCTTAGATGACAGTCTTTAGAAATGTGGAATTCACTTTCCCAACTAGTGGCATCAGCAATACTGATTAAGTCATTAGTGTGCGATGAAGGGAAACTTGAAGACATGACCTGTTGGGGTACTTGAAGTTGAGTAACACTGCTTTAGATGATACATACAATGCTGAACTGCTGGTAAAGATCTTTTCACACCAATAATGTCCACTCCCGCATGTGAAATAGGATTATGCGCAGGGCCTGCAAGTTTATAGTCCATCAGTGTCCTGTTGTCCATTGCTTAAGCCCTGATGAAGGGGGATTTTTGACCAATGAAATGCATTATCTGTGCATATCTTCTTCGCCATTTCTGAAGCCAATAATGTTTTTTTGGACTCTTGAAACAATTACCTGTTGCTCTTTTTTAGACTTAATTCACATGGATTTCTCATTTTGGGCATCCCCACCCTTTGGAGTGCCCCGTTATGTAAAGAGCTGCCAGAACCAAGCCATCAAGCCCAAATATGGCTCCTATTTGACTAGAGAACGTTTTTGGTTCAGCACATCATCCCCACTCGCCCCTAGATTATTAATATGCAGCCTTATGGCTCAGTGTAAATGAACCCTCAATTAACTAAATTTGTTATGTTACACTGTGTGATATCATAGTGAAAATCCAGATACAGTATTTTGTTTTTTAGTTTTGAGTAGGAAAGGGCTGGGTTCTATGTCAGGTTTCTGTTGCTGTCCATGGTCCTGATATAATTTGCACTTACCTCCTGTCCTGGTGTCAACCTTGTTACTGGTACAGGAAGCGTCAGGAATTCCCTCCAATGGAAAATATTGTATGTATCCCATCGCACTCCTGACCGCCAAAAAGTTCCGATATGTCAGGTGCATCAGTGACAAGTGGTTGGTGCCGCGTTTGAAGGCAATGAAAATCAGGAAGGGTCACCAGCCCTCCAAAAGTGATGGCAGCACGTCTTTTTATTGATGCATGTTCACAAAATGTTCAAGCAAAATTAGGTTTTGATGCCACACAAGGGCCACACAAGGGACCCACATTGTTCACATTGTTTGCTTGATGAAGAGACCCTGTGTGGCCCCGAAACATCATTTTGCTTCGTGATTATGTGAACATGCGTCAATATAATACGTGCTGGCATCACTATTGGAGTGTTGGTGACCCTTCCTGATTTTCATTCCCTCCAATGGGGACAAGAGACAGCAAACCTGCAAACCTGACAGCACTTCTAACCTTTATTCACCCATCATTGTATGACAAGATCACAGCATTGCATAGCTGTAAAGAAATGGCTTTACTTTTTCTGTCATTGGTGGGTAATCAGAATGGACAGTGGTTGGTTTTTGTTCTAGACGCCATTGCAAAGAGCAGCCTGGCACCTGCATACAAGCTCCATGGAGTTAGAGCTCTCAGCACTATTCCTAATCTGAAGATCGTTTTATCAATGATGAGTATTATCATCACAATTTTATTCTTTATATAACGACAACTTACATTGCAGTGCTTTACAATTTTGTCACAATAATAAAGGTGGAAGGATTAACATATTGTAATAGACAATTAAATGGTGGGAAGGTCCTACCTGCAAGTGTTTGCAATTACAAAGATATAAAGATGATGAAAGCGAAAACGAATAATAAAAAAACGCAGCCGCGCAGATCTTACCAGTCAGGGATGTGATGCCGGGATTGTATAAGAGCTGTCTTATTATTTGCACAAATAACAGTAAAAGAGTTGCTTAAGATTCTCATGATAAAGCTCCAGATGTTATGCAGAAGCTAATGGTGTGTATGGTACATAAAACAGACTGATTCAAACATTTCATTAGTAACTGGATCATGGCAAGCCTCCATTGTATGTGTATTTATGGGCTATAAGACACCGAGGATAAAGTCTAATTCATGGTATAATGGCCAGTCTTGAAGGTCAATGGGCAATCCTGAAGATCAGCTGACATTTCCCTGTCTGAGAGGACACCTTGGGAACTGTCTCAGTGGGTCTTTGTTGTGCTCTCTATATCAACAGTAGAAGTGACATATTAGACTACAAGCGCCCATAGACATTTGGTGCGATCATCAGATCCAATGAGTACCTGACATACTTTTGTTTGGCCTGGTTCTGGCATCAAGATCAATTAGGTCCTCAGATCTACATCTCCTCTAATAGTAGTGCAAAAAACAAAGTATCCTCTACACCAAGGGTAGGCAACCTCCGGCCCTCCAGCTGTTTTTAAACTCCAAATCCCATCATGCATCTGCCTCTGGCAGTCATGCTTGTGGCTGTCCACGTCTTACAATGCCTATTGGAATTTGTAGTTACACTGCAGCTAGAGGACCAGAGTTTGCCTACCCCTGCCCTGCTTCCTTACCCAAACACTTTTTTACTTAACCATCCCCTAAAATTAGTCCTTTACACGTAACAAGCTCCATGCTAAGCACTTAACCCTAAAAGTAGAACTAAAGCCATTTTTTTTGTTTTGAATAGAGTGAGGGAGGGATATAACTCCTGTTTTGTGCATGGATTTGGTAAGAGTTGTATATTGCCATAATCTACATTTCTATATGTCCTATTATATGCTATACTGATTATGTATAGCTCTGGCAGTATGAATAATGTCAATTCAGTGTTGACTAAAAGGAGTAGTTTTTTACTGGTGCTGAGCACCTTAGAGTTGCAAGATGTCTATCGTCAGCAGGGACATCTATTGTATTTAATTAACTATGTTGTCCCATTCTTCTAATCATAGAGCAGCTCAGGAGTTGCTTGACCCTAGTAAGCAAAGCTTGACTTTTCACAAAGTCAAGTACCAACACACCCATACCACGTCCCACCATGTATGCATTGAGTTGTGGGTGTGCTGGTGCTCAACAACTGAGAATCTGAATGCTGGGAATTAAGTTCTATTCTGGGGTAGACGACCTCTGCACTCCAGCTGTGGTGAAACTACAAGTCCCATGAGGCATTGCAAGACTCTAACAGCCACAGGCATGACTCCCAGAGGCAAAGACATGGTGGGATTGGTAGTTTCACCACAGATGGCGTGTCAAGGTTGCCTATACCGGTAAACCTACCACATTGTACATCTAACACATTTGCTGCGCATTCAGTGCCTGAAATGCTCCAACCACCAGCAGTCATGTTTAATTGTAGCAAAAGATAAAGGCTGTTTTTATAAGAATGTCCCTTTCATATACAGGATGCACACCTTGCTCCAGCTTGTACATCATTACATAGTAAAGCGCTGCGCAAACTGTTGGCGCTATATATAAAGACACAGGTCGTTCAGGTTCAACCTATATAGAATCCATAAATTAATTTCAAGCAGGTGACTGGGAGAAATCTATCATTTAAAGTTTATCTAAAGAGAAGGTTTTTTTGTTTTAGAGTGGAAAAGATTAAACCCCTGTCAGGTTTGTGTTAATCTCTCCAATGTTAGATGAAATTCCATCTTAGGGTCCATGACCGCAGGAGGCTGAGGCTGTACAACATAAGTTCTTCTGTATTTTTGTTCCTGCCATGGAGCCACAGGTGCTGTGTACAGCCTCTCATGGAAGTCATTGGCAGCCTCATATAGAAGTCAATGGCAGCCTCTAATAGAAGTCAATGGCAGTCTCCTATAAAAGTCAATGGCAGCTTCTAATACAAATCAGTGGCAGCCTTCTATAGAAGTCAATGGAAGTCTCCCATAGTAGTCAATGGCAGCCTCCTGTAGAAGTCAATAGCAGCCTCCTATAGTAGTCAATGGCAGTCTCCTATAGAAGTCATCAATGGCAGCCTAATAAAAGTCAATGGCAACATCTAATTAAAGTCAATGGCAACCTCCTAAAGAAGTCATCAGCAGCTTCTAACTGAAGTCAATGGCGGCATCTAATAGAAGTCAGTGGCAGCCTCCTATAGAAGCCAGTGGCTGTACAAGGGTATACAGCGTTACCTGCATACAGCTCTGTATAGAAATAAATGCAGGTTCTCCGCATCCAGCGATTTACATTCATATATATATATATATA